TCATTGCAATTCTCTTCTGTGCTCTGACTCCTCAGAAGGACAGACTGATGGGTCAGGTTCCCAGTGCCTGTTTTGTCATCAAAGGTCTATCACGGCATTACGACAAATAACTCTGAAGCACCTTCTTTTTCATAAAGAAGCCCTCTTTGAACTGTGCTGCATCCTTTGGGAATATGAGCTACCAGACTTATTCATGTGAGAGGTTCTTGGCTACAGCAACAGCTTTCAAAGCTTTTGAATAGTATGCTTCAAGAATAAATAAGAAATTTTTAATGATTAAGGGAAGTGAATTAAAATCCTTCTGGCAATTTGAGTGAGGGTTTTCTTTCCCTCCTTTTGTTTCCATGTTACAGTCTATCTGTATTTACCTTTGTCTGTTTCCTGTAATGAAAATGAAACTGTTTTTTTAGTGAAAGCTGAAATTGTTAAATTACTGTTCCTAAAGGAAAATTTGGATATATGGAAAATTATTTTACTCTCTAGAATTTATTGTTGTTGTTTTACTAATTTAGAAACTTAATTATCTATACGGGTTTAGGAAGACTCCCTGCAAATATTGTATGTTAGAACAGAGTTGTTTCTTCCAGATTTATTCTTGGAAGCAAAATACAGTCTTCAGTGGGTTGTCTTGTTGGAGAAGGCTCAAGTTGCTTGTTTGGGGGCGCTTTTTGTTTGATTCAGTGGTTATTTATTTATTTATTTGGACTTTGTTGTTGTTGAAGATGTTACTTTTGCTGGCAAAATTGAAAACATGTTCTAAGCAAAATATACATTTTGATTTGTTTGGGTTTTTTTTCAGGTACAGCTTGTACCCTGGGAAATAACTAGCCAGTCTCCATATTTTCAGAATTCACAGCAATTCTGTTTCAAATTACTTCTTGCCTTTTTCCACTCTTGCATATAATTTACTTCCATTCTTTAATTTTTAACAGATTGAAGGAAATCCTGAATCAAAACCTCAGTTTATTGAGGTACTTTGAATGAAATTTGTGGTGTTTTGTGCTTATCCATCAATAATTTACAGATTCTGTGTTCCACTAGCAAGTAAGTTTCAGAGTTACTTTCAGTCAGCAGAACAAAATGCTATGTACAGTCATTCCAGTTTATGCAACAGCTTTGTAAATGAACTTTTTGATTAGGGTAATAGTTCCATTCCTTTGATACTGAAGCACATTTTTTATTGATTTTGGCCCTGTAATGACATAAAATAATAAAATTATCAAAATATATTATCAAAAAGTGTGATTCTGAATATTAAGAGGAAATGTTTTGAAACTTGACATTTCTGCATAGTAAATTGTCAGAGTAGTATGACGTGTTGGCATTTCCTATTATTCTTTTTAAAGTGCTGACTTAGAACTTTTTTCAAGTCAGATGCTTTTCTGTCAGAGGAGGTGTAGAAGCATGTCATAGAGTCTGTTTGATAGTTCAGCTGTGGTTAAATATCAGCTCAATTCTGTTTTAAGTGTCAGCGGTTTTGCAAGCCACAGCAGAGGAAGAAAAGTCTTGAAATATTCTTTTTTCTGAATGGTATGTCTTACTAGTACAGCATCACAGTTCCTGTCTGAAATGTGATAATTACTGTTTTACTTTTGCTAAATATAGGTCTTCAAAATCATTACTAAGAGATGCTTCAGAATTTGCTATGACCTTAAATTTTTGTGGCCTTTAGTCCAAAAAGAGTGATGCTGCTTTTAATTTTAAGCCCTGGAACAATGCTTTTCTGATAGCTTAGTGCAGTGACCAAACAAGAAGCGAGTTAGTGAATCAGTTTAATACCTGTAACACAGCAATAACTATACACTAGTTATTGCTATACACTAGTTATAGCAATACACTATAGTGTAACTAGATAGTTACACTACACTATAGTGTACAGTTATTGCTGTGTAATAGTAATATTGCTGTGTAATAGTGTACAATATTGCAGTATTGCTGTACACAGCAATAACTACTTTTTTTTTTTAAAAAAGATACTAGAATGATTGCTTCATCTTAATTTCTTATTTTTATTCTTCACGGTGATTTTTCATAATCAGAAATTTGTAAGAGCTGATGCTTTGCTGTGCATATGTTGTGAGTTTTTATTCTTCCTGTCTGATTCTGTACTTTAGGTTTTTCTATTTTTTTTCTTTGTCAGCTTTCTTAATGTTTGGGTCAACACTCTTCTGTTGTCTTGGAACCTTCTAATGGGTTACAATAGGGCAACCAACTCTTTAATTCTTGCTGTGTGTTAAATGCATTCTTTTCAAACACACCTTTATCAAAAATGTAGCTACTTTCAACAAGAAATGATCTGGTGAAATTTCCCTTCCATTCTTAAGTATGGGTATGCTTTATTTGTTCTGCCGGTTACTTGTAGACAATATGACAGGCTGGCCTCTGCTTATTTGATTAATAGGCTGAGCTCATACAAATTGATTAGATGCCAGTGGATCCTCACTTCTGGAGGAAGAAATACAGCCTTTAGTAGCCTTTTTGCAAAGTGGTGGGCTTTTATGTAGACCTGCTGCACTGAAATGTGAGGTTAGTCAGCAGTTAAACTCTAGCTTATATTTTGGGGTTTTAAAATTTCATAGAAAGGTAGCTCTTAAAAATTAGGTGGTGGTGTTATGCTCAGGTTTGTGAGTGTAGTTTGATAGATGTCCTACTTCATATTTGAAAGTGAATAGTTGAAATGATACGCATCTTAAACATGATTTCCTATAAGGTGCCAGATGGTGTCAGGGATTGCAATAATGGGACAAATCTGCAGTCTTTATTACTGTCCCCTTGACTGTAGGTTGGTAGACATTTCAAAAGGTTGTATGAATATGAACTGCTATAGCTTTAACATCCTTCCTTGTTGAAAAGCATATCCTTTTTAATTTTAGTTCCTGGCATTATTTTGGCCTGTTTGAGTACCAACCAGTTGTCAAATTCTTAACTCTCCTTATGTAAATAAAATATAGTGAAGATTTCCTTACAGGTTGTATTTGAAAAAATACTATAATTTAATAATCAAAAGCTTTATTTAATCTGTTTATGCTAGGTGAGTGTGGGAGAGACATGGCAGAAATTGGAAATGCTTTATGGTAGTTTTCTGAAGATGCAGAATACAAACAAACCCTGGGAATGTGATAGATAATTTTTAGTTGCAATTCTAATGAATGCATCATGTGGGAAAACTCCCAGTCATGCTCAGGGTGGTACCTATGAACATACAGTCCTGTATCTGACAAATTAGTGGAAAATTTTACTTACAAAACATAACATATTGACTTTAAAAACAAAACAAAACTTGTAGGGTAGGCCTGTCCCACATGCAGGCCAGGGTGGCAAAGTGTCCCCGATGACTCGGTGCCTGAGCTTTGGCTTGCCTTGCAGCAGTGCAGCAGAGAGTTCTCTTTGACCTCAGGCAGTTCCAAAAATCAGCAGCTACCTGGCAAGCCCAATTTCTGACCAGGCATTTGGCATCTCTTAGGTAACAAGGATAGATGCATAGCTGCAGAGGAGCTGAAGCAGGTGTGCTGACTCTTGACTGGAGTTCTTGGGTAGGTGACACAAGCAAGATGTAATCGTGGTGTTGCAAAGGGTGGTATATGGATATTTACAGAAATAGCATGGTAGGAGAATAGGATGTAGAAGCTCTATATCAAATGCTGAATTAAAATTTCGTGTCTTTTTTTACACTCT